TGAACTGAAACTGGATTGTGATGAAATTTTGCAACAATCTATATATGGATATATATCTCAAAGGTGACTGACATAGTGATCTATCAACGCACAGCCCAAACCACTGGACGGATCGGGCTGAAATTTGCCATGCAGGTAAATGTTATGACGTAGGCCGCTAAGAAAAGATTTTGATTAATTCTACCCCCAAGGGGATAAAATAGGGGATGAAACTTTGTCAATTTTAAACCGATCGGACTGAGACTTTGCATGCATAAATCTACTATGACGTAGGCATCCCCTAAGAAAGGATTTTAATAAATTCCACCGCTAAGGGGATAAATTAACGCGAGCGAAGCCGCGAGCAAAAGCTAGTTATATATATTTATAAGTGCTCTGCCGGCAAATGTTTTAAAATAATGAAATTGTTTTAAATTTTGCATGCCTAACGAAGCAGAACATAATGGAGAATATATTTTAAAACATCAACTAATGTACCTATATTTATAGCATATATTTCATTTGATTTGATTTCTATTCATAAGTATGATTTTTATTGTTTACCATTAATATTACAAGTAAAATATTTTAAACCTACACTTTATAAAAATAAATCTAGACTATCATCATTACATAGTATGAAACAAAGTCGCTGTCGCTGTCTGTTCGTCCCTATGTATGCTTAAAACTACGTAACGGATTTTGAAGCGGTTTTTTTAATAGATAGAGTGATTCTCAGGGATAACCGACTGCTTCACAGTCAACAATATGGTTTCACCGCCGGCAAGTCTACCACTGACGCAGGTGTAGCGCTGATAACACATATTTTCCAATCATGGGAGAAGTCACAGGATGCACTCGGAGTTTTTTGTGACCTATCAAAGGCATTTGATTGCGTGGATCATAAAACACTTTTGTACAAGCTCGAACATTATGGTATAAAAGATAATGATCTAAAATTAATGAGAACTTATTTAGAGGATAGGGTCCAAACTGTAGATATTGACGGTATAAAATCTAAGGGAGCTAATATTGGGATGGGCGTTCCACAAGGGTCAATCTTAGGCCCCTTTCTCTTTTTAATTTACATAAATGACCTTCCCTTTATGGTAGAGAAAATTGCAGATATAGTGCTGTTTGCGGATGATACTTCGTTAGTGTTTAAAATTGGACGTCAAACTAATCAATTAGACGATGTAAATTGTGCTATGTCTGCTATATTAAATTGGTTTACATGTAATAACCTATTATTAAATTCCAGCAAAACAAAGTGTATAAAATTTACACTTCCTAATGTAAGACCAATAAATACACAGTTATTGCTTAATGACGAAATAGTAAACTTTGTTAATGATACAGTTTTTTTAGGTATAACAGTGGACTCGAAATTACAATGGGGGCCCCATATTTCAAAATTGGCCAATAGACTCAGTTCAGCTGCATATGCAATTAGAAGAATTAGGCAATTAACAGACGTGGCGACGGCTAAACTTGTATACTTTAGTTATTTCCATAGCATTATGTCATATGGTATACTACTGTGGGGTAAAGCAGCCGATATAAATACTATATTTATTTTACAAAAGAGAGCCATACGTTCTATTTATGGTATGGGTTCAAGAGAGTCATTACGTCAGTGTTTTAAAGACTCAAATATCCTCACCGTTACTTCACAATACATTTATGAGAATATCATGTATACGCGGAAGAATTTAGACAGTTTTAGAAAACTTAAAGACTGTACAAATAGAAACTTAAAATAAATAAAATAAAATAAAAAAGCCTTTTATTTCCTAAAATGACAAGAATATTACATGCACTTACTAACTATTTATAAACATATGTTATTGAACTTTTTACATATTCTCTTTGTTATTTATTATATTATATTATTATTATTTTTTTATTATAATATTTTATCTACATTCAATATATTATTATTAGCATGCAATAACAATAAACATTTCATTTCTTTAATATTATATTTTTTTTTATTTAGGTATCCATTTAAGGATATAGGCCTCTTCCAACCTTTTCCACTTTTCTCTGTCTTTAGCCAGTCTCGTCCAAGTGGGCCCCGCTACGTCAATGATGTCATCGCTCCAACGCTTTTTAGGTCTTCCGCGTGGTCTTGTTGTGTTTCGTGGGTACCAATATAACATTTTTTCGCTCCATCTCCCATCCGTTGTCCTTGCCAAGTGGCCTGCCCACCTCCATTTCAATCTACAGGCCAGCTCCGCAGCATCAATGATATTTGTAATTTTTCGTATATCTTTATTTCTTTTTCTATCTATAAGTTTCAGTCCTATCATGCTTCTCTCTGCAGCTCGTTGAAACACTTGAATCTTATTTATGATATCCTTTGTTAGTGCCCAACTTTGACATCCATACAACAATGTCGGGAGAATTACTGTGTCCATTGCTTTCTTTTTTAGCCTAATAGGTAAAGTTGATTTAAAAATTTCTTTCAAGGACCAGTATTTACACCAAGCTTTTTTTATTCTGCATTGTACTTTTGTGTTGAGCGGTGTTGCAAAAGACATGTTAATTCCTAGGTATGTATATTCATCGACATAATCAATACTTTGTGTCTCAATACTTATAGGAATTTTTTCGCTATTTGTCATTGCAAACGTCTTTGAAAAGTTCATTTTCAAACCACATTTCTGGCTTTCTTTATCTAGCGTCGTGAGCATGTGTTCGACATCTTTATGCTTTTCAGAAATTAATACAATATCATCGGCAAAACGCAAATGATTCAAGTACTCTCCGTTAATTTTAACTCCCAAATTATCCCAATTCAGTTGTTTAAATATATATTCTAGTAATGCAATGAAAAGTTTAGGAGAAATAGGATCTCCCTGACGTACTCCTCTTTTTATGTCGAATGGTTTTCCTTCACGTTCTAGTTTTACTACAGCTGTACAGTTTTTATATATTGTTTTCAGTATTTCTATATACTTTTCATCTATTTCTTGTTCTTGCAATGCTTTCCAAAGCGGTTCATGTAAAATTGAATCGAAAGCTTTTGCATAATCCACGAATACAACATATAAATCTTTTCCATATTCCACGTATTTTTCTATTAGTTGAGTCAATGTAAAAATATGATCTGTTGTGGAATAACCAGCTCTAAATCCAGCTTGTTCCCTTGGTTGGTTTCTTTCCAATGACTTTGCGTTTAGCAACAAAGTTGTGAAAATTTTGTAAATTACTTGTTGTAAGTTAATCGGTCTATAATTTTCTATATTAGCTGAATCTCCTTTTTTATAAAGTAAAGTTATGATTGACGTGTACCAATCCTTTGGAATTTCATTTGATAGTAAAATTTCATTAAATAGTTCAGTTAAGTATGGCGTGAGAGGGTCAATTAATGCTTTAATTAATTCATTTGTTATTCCATCGTTTCCAGGGCTTTTCAATGGCTTTAACCGTTTAATTACCCATCTTATTTCTGTTTCCAAAAACGGTAGAATAGATTTTTGGTTTTGACTGCTCATTGTAATCAATTTTGTTCGTTGTTGTTTAGCATCTTGATATAGTGTACTATAAAAATCTGAAGCTATTTTCACCAATTCTTCTCTATTTGTTTTAATATTACTTTGTTTTTTAAGTCCTGTAACCCATATTTTTTGATTGTTTAATCTTCTATATGCTCTTTTTATTGAAGCGCTTTTATTTAATTCTTCTTCAATTACTTGATATCTATTTTTCTTTATGCGTAGTTTTAATTGTTTTTTTATTAGTTTATACAATGCTATTAACTTTTGTTTTTCTGTTCTGTTTTTGTTTCTTTTGTTCTTTAATGTATTTCTTTCCGTTATTAGTTTATTAATATATGAATTTAGTATTATTGTTTTGTTCTTATTTCTCTGAGTAGATAGTATACGACTTGAACATTTTATTTTATTTATTAGATTATGATAAGATTCTTGTATGTTTTCAAATCTATAAGTTTTCATATCTAATGTAAATATATTTTTTAGATATTCTTGTTCCTTACTATTATATTCACGTGTTTTACTTCTAATATGCTTTCGTGACATTTTATTTTTAGTTACTATAAGTTTAGCTCTTACAAGTCTATGGTCAGTAGGAAACGTTGTACCTATAACTTGTATATCTTGTATTAGTTTCTTATTTTTAACTATTATGAAATCTATTTCATTTCGTGTCTTACAATCAGGAGATATCCAAGTCCATCGCATTTTTATATTCTTTTTGAAGTAACTGTTCATAATGGACATGCCATTCTCGATGCAAAAATCTACAAGTGTCTGCCCCCTTCCGTTTCTTTTACCAAAGTTCCAAATGCCCATGACATTTTGCTCATCCTTCTTTCTAGCTCCTATTTTTGCGTTAAAATCCCCCATTACTATTACATCTTTGCCAGTATACTCTAAAGCTTCTCGTAACTTTTGGTAAAAATATTCCATCTCCTCATCCTTGGACCGCTCAGTAGGAGCATAGCATTGTATAATATTAATTTTCTTATTAGTAAGCATGATATCTAAACGTATTATCCTGTCAGAAATATGTAAAATATCCAAAATATTAGCTTTTAGATCTTTTTTAATAATAAAACCTACGCCATTTTTGCCACTTTTTTCTCCACTATACGTAAATATATATTTTTCGTTTTCAATTATGTTCTTTCCATCTTTTTTAACTTCTGCTAGACCAATTATGTCCCATTTAAATTTATCCAAAATGTGATCAAATTCTAATTGTCTTACTTCAGTGACTAAAGATCTTACATTATATGTACATATATTAAAACATATATCTTTTCTATTTATATTTCTATTTTTAATTATATTCTGTTCTGTATTTTTATGTTTAAGTTCATAATCAGTTACATTATCATTACTAGTATTATTTTCAAAATTGTTACTTTTCTTAAGGTTGGAAGGTTTTGGTCTACTATTCCCACGGGGACCAGCCGTATTGGGAAAGCGTATAGTATTTTTGTTTTTATAGGTGTATTTTTGTGTTTCGGTTGGAGAAGGCGCTGCTTGTTGCTATGTTTCTATATCCCTGTCAGAGTCCTGTGAATCTGTAGCTTGTTGTCTTTTTCTGCTTTGACATGATATATATTGAGTGATATTTCTATTTACATTTGTTGCTTTATGTTTTTTAGCCATTCTATGTGTCATTACTTCTGTACTTTTATTATAGCTAGTAGCATAAGCTGATGGATCTAATGTTCGCTTTTTGCTTTGATTTTGAGTCGATACCGTGTCATGAGTGTTGTCTTTATTAGGTAGGATAATCAATTTATTATATTTAATAATAGCTTTATTTCCTTTTTCTAATTCACATCTCAAATCTTCCTGTAATCTTTTTCTCTCATTTAAAATTTTTTTCGGAAAATCTTCCTTTACGTATATAGTTGTACTGACCAGTTTAGATTTATTTTTTAATATTTGAATCTTTTTTCCCAATGTGGTTAAGCTAATGTTAATTGGTCTAATTTTATTTTCTCCTTTTTTACCAATGCGTCTTACATGTTGAACTTCATCTCTCGTACAAATTATGTTCATATCATCATTTATAACATTTAGTATAGTATCCTCTAGTTCCGTATATGATCGTTCTTTTTCTTCAATACCAAAGAAAACAAGATTTCGAAGCCTTATATCTCTCTCTAATTGATCTATTCGTGTTTCTTGGTTTTCATTTTTTCTTTTCAGATCGTCTAACTCAGTCTTGTACTCGATTAATTTTTCGTTCAAATTATCGATTTTTAATGATAATTTGGTATCGGTTTTGTTCAACTGTTCTCCAACATTTTTAATTGCTTTTAGTATGTCGTCCATTGTTAATCTGGTTTTTATAGTGTGTTATTGTTGTTAGGGTTATAGTTATATAAATAGTAAGTTTCCACTGAAGATGAAAGAGGACACCCCCCGGAAGACAAGCAATACTATGCAATGTTGAGTCAATTCACGGCGCTGAGAGATGATATGCAATTCAATAATCACAATATAAATGGCTACACATAGATAATTCGTTATATATAACAATACACATTCACTTATATATTTCCTTCTATCCTTTAATTGCTAGAATATGATGTAAGTATATATATATATGACACAAGCTTATATATTTTATCTATTATTATATATATATATATAAATGTTTTATCATTAATGAATGTGTTCTAGTGTCCAGTGTAGTCCACTGAGTAAACAAAGCAGGGCCTCATCCGAAGATAAACTTTTATACAAATCAGTCCTCTCTGTCCTCTGTGACCTTGTACGGGATGAGGGCTACATATTATTTTGATGCATTGATATATATCTCTCTATACTGTGTATCCACTCCAATAATAATGTTTGTTTTTGTTTTTTTTTTTTTTTTCGTGGGTAGGGCGTCAGCGTTTAGTAAGTATATTTCTTAATTTAATTATATTTCATTAATAATTTCGATTACTTTTAATGCAATCGTAATAGTAAGTATATGATTTATTGCTTACTTGTGTTTAAATTGCAAATTCTCACACCTTCGATAAAACAGTCTTCTGAATCACTTTTCTTCGATATTTTGACTTCGTAATTTCTATTATTATTCATTACATTAACAGTCACAAACACTGTCACAGTTTATTTCTAACACAATATACACATTTTACTTATAATTTGTGAGTTTTATTATTAAATAGTATTTTTAAAGCAATAACATTTACGAACTTATTGTTTACTACTGGGCAGCGCCATAGTATCTATAATAAGATTTTATAATAAACTGCCAGAATCTGCACTAAATCTGACAGAGAGGCAATTCAAATCTTATATTAAACAATTTTTATGTAAGAAAGCCTATTACAGGATAGACGAATTTATAGAAGACAATATATCAAGTAAATAATTAGTTTATTAGCATACAACGTTATAATTTGTTTATCTCATTGCTTTCTTGATTCAATTATTTTAGAAATATGAAAGCGTAGCGGGTTTTGTATTAATTGCCGCATGCATTCTTATGTGAAATGTGAATACTATAAACATCAGATGGCAATTGTGAGTAGCTATGACGTGGTCTGGTGTTTTGAGTAGTCATGCTCACTAAAATGTCCAGACTTGTGGCGGCGTGGTGGGCCGGGTCATTGGGCTCCCTAAAATATGGTCGAGCGCAGTGATGGCTGGCTCATCCGTCATACTCGTGAACGGGTGCTGCTTGTAGGGACTGGTCTGCTCTAATCACTATGACTGATTTCCTCTTATTAATTGTTTAACCAGTTGGTTATGTGTTCAATATTTTTTTCTTTTTGAGTATTTAATTGAATTAGTGCTAATCGGTGGTTTGTATTCACACACTTAAACTTAAATTGTAAGTAAGAATAAATTATTTAAAAGAGCAACACACAAGTTTCTTGCTTGTTCTTCTTGTGATGAGACAGCATTCCGAATGAGCGGTAGATTAAAAAAAAAAAAATGTTATGACTATTCAAAAGTGCTTCAATGTAAGTTTATTTGAATAAATGATTTTCTATTCTATTCTATTCTATTCTATTCTAGAGAAAGGTTTATATACCTATATAACACATTTACATTGCGGTGCTAGTTCTGTATAAAATGATTATGGCACAAAATTCAAGAATAGTTTATCAATAGTTACCAATTTCCATGATGTAATCAATCTTTTCAGCATTCATATTGTCATCCCTTTCTTTTACTTCCACGTGCTGTGCGCGGGAAAGGATAGGATAGAGAAATGGTAGTACCCTACCACTCGAATGTTAGAAATTTAAAATGGCGCGAACAATTACACTTAACTATGATTAATTATCACGTGTCACGTTCCTTATATAAACCGTTGTTTGACGTTACCTAATAGTTTTTACAAAACTACAAACTTTTAATAGATATTCCATGTGTCTTTTATGATATATTATATTTTGTATTCACAGACAATAGTAGCTGTAAAACATGTAATAATATGACAATTGACATGCCCGCAACATGTTGTACGAAATGTCTTTTTGTATGAAACTTTTTAAATCGCGTTAGAATTATTATTTTAATAATCTCAGGACAATTCACACAGCGCCATCTAGGCCCAAGTAAAGCTAGCTAAAGCTTGTGTTATAGGCACTAGATAACTGATACAAATATATAGATATATTTTCTTTTGTAAATACATACATATTATACACAGAAAACATCCAGAGCGATACAAATAATCATACTTATAAATACAAATGTTTGTGCCGTGCGAGGAATCGAACCCGTGATCATCGGAATTAAAGCGGTGTGCTAAACCGCTAGTTCACCGAGGTCGTCTTTGAATCTGCAGATGGAATGTGTTCATAATACATCTAAAATTGAATATATCATCAAAGCTCTGAAGTTAATAGGTTAGACATAAGTGTATTCCAGGGAATGTTGAGAGAACCAGCTTCCGATGCAGCCAAGTCATTATTCTAGTTGGTGACACATTACCTTACGTCACAGTATCGAACCACTTAGCTTGAGGCGAGACTTTGCGTCTTTGCGTCGGTTTGTGTGCTATACCGAATATACAACGGACTGTATTCTGAGGAATTGTTAGACCCGATGCCTTTTACCATCACAGCTCTCGCCATCGACAGGGAATTCATCCCCACACGCTGGAACCTAAGTGGTCTCGGACAGTGCTGTTTCAGAAGAGAAAATTCCTCCCGCGTGCACTAGATCGTGGAATGAACTACCTGCCGAGGTTTTCTCGAGAGACTACAGCATGGGGTTTTTCAAGAAACGCGTACTTGACACCCCTAGTATTTCAAGTGTCCATAGGCTACGGGACCGTAGCACCATCAGATGGGCCGTACGTTTGTTTGCCACCTATGTGATATAAAAAATACATTAAGGCGATTTTGTTTTTTTTAATATTAATCAATGAATATTGTGAAGAAAAATCCCAAAAAATATTGAAGAATGAAATCCTCCAGATTCTTGCTTGAATGCAATTCGTAAAATTAGAAGAATATATGAAGACGCATATTTAAGCTCATCACCAGACGAATGACGTATATCAATATCAATAATAATGATTTAATCATTTGGAGGTTATTTAACCTTTTAATAATCAATATTTCCTAACCTTATTTAAAGGTAATGCCATCATGTTTTTATGGTTGACCTTACAAATAAATTAATTAATGTACTAACATGTCAGTATTACAAGATACCAATATACCTGCCATCTTTTGGTTTAAGTGAACCAAAAGATGGCAGGCATTATAAGAAGAAAAAATGATACCTATATCAAATTCAAAATATGTTTATTCATGTAGGTCTATTACAGACATGATATGTCAAATCAACTATTTTTTGCTCTAATATTTTTCGAATGAGCTTGTAGATAATTACAAATATACAGATTCTTTTTTAAATTTAATTAGGGTAACATTATGACGTTTTAATGATGTAATAGCGTTTTTGTCAAAAGGAAATAATATAATCAGTGGCTATAACTCGAACATACTAGTGTCCAAAAGCAGCTAACTATAATTCTAATGATAACTAATAATTGAATTATAACCGCCCTAGAAAAAGGGAAGAAACAATATAAATAATAACCCTGAACAATTAACACAGCGCCATCTAGTCCCACGGTAAGCAGAGCTTGTGTTATGGGTACTAGACAACTGATATAAATACATAGATTTTTTTTTGTAAATACATACATATTATACATAGAATATACCCAGACTAATTTAAACAATCATACTCATGAATACAAATGTTTGCACCGTACGAGGAATCGAGCCCGCGACCATCGGAAGTAAAGTGAGCTGAACCGCTGCACCATTGTAAATCATTAAATAAATTAATTCACTATAATTTATAGACGCCCCTTAATAGTCTAACGTATCTATGAACACGTGAAAGCCTGACATTTCCATTTGACTTGGGACGAGCGGTACAAATGCCACATCTGTTTCATCAACTACATATATACTCGTAATGTCGCAAAACACCTGCGCGCGCGCATCTCCGCGCCGCCGTCGACATTACGCGTCGCCAATATTATACACCAGCAATTTAGATGTGGCCTTATAAGGTCACTAGCTGACCCCTACTCCGTCTGCGTAACATTTTCAATTTTAAAACAGCTGATTTTCTTAGCATTGCATGGATGTACAGTGCGGTGCGGGGTCGTCGTGCAGCAGAGGAAAGATATGATGTGTTCCCGAGACTTTCTTTACAATATATGCTAAACCTGGTTCAAATAGTTTTTGACGCGTGTGAAGATCAACCTAATATGATTTAATAATGGTTCATTGCCAGCAAATAGGTGAATAGGTCCCATTTCCAAAAATCACATCTCACCCTCACGGCGTCCATACGCTATCGTGTAGTACTTTTCAGTATGTTTTCAAGCCATAGAATTACTATGGCTTGAAAACATACTGAAAAGTACCATAGAGAGACGAACTTCTTACCACTCCATGGATTCACTATGCGGGTACCGGGTCCACGTTCAGCATAGAATAGAAAATCATTTATCCAAATAAACTTAATTTAAGCACTTTTGAATAGTCATAGTTATCATTCTTTTAATCTACCGCTCATTCGGAAAGCAGTCTCATCACAAGAGCGAGCAAGAAACTTGCGTGTTGCTCTTTCGAATTGGAAATATAAAATTACAATGATTTAATAATCATTGTAATTTTACATTGGAAATATAAAATTACAATGATTAAATAATCATTGTAATTTTACATTTCCCATTCGAAACGTGCGAATACAAACCACCAACAACAGATATGAAATATTCAGGATTAAAACAGTCGTAGTGATTAGAGCAGACCAGTCCCTACAAGCAGCAT